TATATATATGTGTGTGTGTGTGTGTGTGTGTGTAAAGACGAAATGTGGGTTTGTTTGCACCCTATCTCCTCCGAGCCTGTTGGGCCAATCTCAACTAAAATTTGTATGTAAACACTATGAACTATGGGGAATGTCCTAAGGGGATCAAAAATGAACTTAACCCTATTTCCATTTTGTAAAGTCTGTTGGTTAACTACTCCCAGCCTATTGAGCGAATCTCAAACAATCTTGGCAGGTTGACGCTTTAGACACTGTTGAATATTCTAAGGGATTCCAGATTAAAATATGAAAGTTGCTGGATTATTTCCCAAACAACTATGCTTTTCTCGTGATCAATGAGATGTAGGGTGCTTAAGGGTGAGATCACCTCAAAATCTTTATTTGTTGGTAGATGGAAAGCAAACTGCTATAACTTTAAAATTTTAAGATAAAGTCTCCCCGCCAATTGACGGGTATTTCAGCTTGTTTATTAATATCTATAATCCAATCCCTTTTACAATTATAAATATATTGTTACGACAGCGGAAGTCACGTGACTCTGGTAACACGTAATGAGTATCTCTAGGTTCGTGAATGCTCGAGTGTTTGCTAGATATGCTGTCTTCTAATATATAAGCCCGACAATAAATCGGAACGATATAGCAGACAGAGAGATTGGAGATATAGACTGACAATTGAGTCAAGCGCGGTAGTAAGTAAAGCGCGTGAATCGTTCATTGAGAATTATAGCGTGTGTTTAAGTTAAACTGACTGTGGAAATTAAGTGTATTGCAAAGTTGTATTGAGAAAGAATAAACTAGTTTTATTTAAGAAAGGACTTGTATCGTTGAAGTTCTTCGGAAAGAATTTTTTGGAGTAATTAACAAACGACCAGAGACGTAACAATATTTTGTAACAAGTTTACAACTTATATTTTTTAAAAGCGCAGACACTTCAACCAATCATAATTTTTAAATTAAACTTAACAACGTAAAGCATTAACAGTAATACCTCAGGATTCTGTAAGAACTGATATTTGTTGCAATTCTGCCTCATTATAAATTTCCTGTTATAAGAACAAAGATTGCAATCATCCGTATACATCTGAAAGACTTCTTCATGGTCCTCAAGACTTCTCTCTGGAAATTTACTAATAGTTACTTGAAAACTGTTATACTGTCTTTAAGTTTAGGTTAAAAATTATAATAGTATTAACACAATTTTTTTATAACTCAAGTATTCCTAAATGATTGGTTTAAAACCTTCAGACATTTAATAAGGTCGTTTTAAAAGTGATAAAAAACATAATCAAAAGAACAAGAAAAAGTTGTACAATTCTTTTATGTGTGTTTTGGGACTGAATTAATTTTACTTAAAGTCTACACATTTTATTAGATGAAAGTTTGAAACACCTAGTTATTCTGGGTGTTTATGTTTTTATTTTATATTAAATCAGAAATAAATTATCACCTAAAAGCATAATGGAATAGGGACCACTGTCCTTAAATTTAAAATACACAGAATGAATCCCATAATCAGTTAATAATTATATTTTTGTTTTAACTTGTCATTTTTTAATATTTACAATCTGAGGCGTACACTTGCTTCTTCTGTGCAAGCCTCACACGTTATAATTTCACCCAGAAACAAGTTAGGCTTTCATTTTACCGATTCCAAGGTCGGAAAACTGTTCCAAAATTGTCCACATAAAAGAGCGGGTAAGGCTAAATTTCAAAGTTAGTAAATTGCAGAGATCTGAAGCCCGTAAGCCTTCCTCTACTACGGTCTGGTGGTGTCTGCCATCTTGAAGATAAAACTCCAGTGTCACCTGGAAATATAAACATTTTATAAAAATCTTCTGAAATACAAGTCCATAGAAAAAAAAAGGTGTTTAAAGTTTTCCTCAGGCGATTACTATATAACAGTTTTAAGCCTACTAAACGGTTTTAACATCGTGATGTTTGATACTTTAGTGTGACAAAATAAAAATATTGTATTGTTGGTAACAAGATACATTTAAGATTAAACTGTAAAATGACCAATCCATTTTTTTATTTTATTATTTATTTATTTAGCATTAAACATGATAGACTAAAGGGCGACTAGCATAGTTGATTTGTTTCGCAAAAAGCTATAAGAGGACTATCTGCGCTAGCTGTCCTTATTTATGAAGTGATAGGCTTAAGCAAGTATCCCAGAGAGGGGTTGCTACACCCTCCCAATATTAGGTAGCTGGACATACTTTCATCGGGCGATAAAACAGTCTGTTGGACGACCTGCCCAACACAATACTCAGAAAGAAGAAATGTTCAATCATATCAACAAGTGAAATGATCAAAGTATTTCATCACACGAAACATAGTAGTTTAAATCGCCTGTTTGACAACTCGCCAAGTCCACCAGACAACTACTTTCTTTACCTGTATCTATATAAATATAATAGTACTGTCTGTTGTCTATTCTATGTCCATGTAACTACTTCGCAGGGTTTAGATGGATCTTCACCAAAATTGGTATGGAGGTTCATTAGGTCCATGAGGAGGTATTCAGTTTTGCAGTTTTTATGGTCTATTTTGCGTTTTATCACTACTTCCCCCTCTGCTGATGGATCTTCACCAAATTTGGTTTGGAGGTTCATTAGGTCCACGAGGAGGTATTCAGTTTTGCAGTTTTTATGGTCTATTTTGCGTTTTATCACTACTTCCCCCTCTGCTGATGGATCTTCACCAAATTTGGCATGAAGGTTTGTTGGGTCCATGCGGAGATACATGCAAAGTTGCGATTTCATATTTTGTGTTTTGCAGTTTTTATGGACATTCTTGTGTTTTTTACACTTACATATAAGAAAAGCAACTTTTCGTGTCCTAAGATAACTTTCATTAATCATGAATTCACATAACTTCCATCCAGGGGAACGGGTACTCTCAGCTTGTCTCCTGTGGATGGATCTTCACCAAATTGGTATCCCCTGTTTTACCACATTTTACTGAGCAGTATACCTGTTCGCGTGAAAGAAGCTATACTTGCCAGGAAAATGAACTGACCCATTCCCACCCTATTGCGTACACCTAATGTTACACCCCTGGTTACCTTCAGCTTGTACGGACTGATAAGTGTGAGTAAATACCATAATGCTTATTAAATATAAGGTATTAAAATACTTACTTGTTTTACTGAGTATTGGTCTACTTTCTTGTTAGTAGCGGGAAATTTGGGGCAGTGATACGCTAAGTCCATTCCACTGTCTACCAGCATGTCGTTGTCCCTTTTTCCCCCCAGAAATTAGTGCCACTGAAAAGATTAATAAAAAATCTTAATAACTATAATAATAAGAGTAATTTTATTTATTTTTATTTAGCAGAAAAAATACAAAATAATATTTTGTAAATTAGAAAACCAACTGATCCCTTATATGTTAATTTATTTCTCCAACTTTTAAGTTCCACGATTAGCGTAACCGACGTTCATCGAAAGGCCAAAGTTCACAGATAAATTATGTTTAACAGAAATTCCACTACTTGCTAATTTCGTATTTCTTCTTCATTAGTGAAACACACACTTGTTATTCATAGCATTGAACTAACTCGATGACAATAACGTAAACTAGCTAAAACGTGCATCGCATCAGAAACTAACTTAGTTGGAAAGTGGGGGTGCGGCAAAAAAACCAAGTTAACCTAAATAGTTGTTAATAATAGTGTATTTACACGAAATGATAAAATTTGTAGGTATGCACGTGCCTCTTCTGCCCTTTGTTAAAACTTTTCTTTAAATAAAATTAATAAAAATGGTTTACTAATCTAGCTTTGAAATAACTGTTAGTCCACAGACATGCCGCTGTGCCACTAGAGGGCGCAGCAACCCGTTCGAAACGTTGTACATTTGCTGTTATGTTAAACTTATATTAAAGTTTTTCTTCATTACCCATTCAAGCCATCTCCAACCATTATTAGTCTCAATGTGGGTTCCTCGTCACCGAAATTG